TTAATATTTTTAAAGAACGTTAACCGCAAAACTCCTAGGGATCAACAGTGGTTTTCATTATTCAAACAAAAAAAGGGGGGAAATTAAAGACCGTCCCGCACCAATCCCGGTCCCCTCCCAACAATAAACGAAGTTGACAACTTTAAGACTTTACAATTTCAGCCATTAAAGCTTAAAAAGACATTTAATGAAAGGTTTGTATGGGTCCCAACGAAGAGAACCTGAGAAGTGTAATAAGAGATGCGTTTGCGAAGATTTTCAACATCTTTAGTACGTTGTTCAATGAGAGACAACAGTACTTCTTCTTGCTCCCTTCTTATCTCCTCTGCTATAACCTTTGGTTCTTCTTCCACCATTTTTCTCCTCCCCACAGTCTTGCACCGCTTCCACTAAATTCAATTTTCAAGAATACCCGCTCTCTCTCTGTATTTAGGTTAAAATCCTGTACTACCCGAATTAAAGTAAATAACCACAGTTTACCGCTTAGTTAAACAGTTAAAGGATTACTATAAATTATATACTAGGTAAGTTTTATATTTATCTCTAATTTTTAAAACTTCATTGAATTTCGGTAATCCAAGAATGATCTTAAAACTTCTATAATTCCATTTTCTGCTACTTTTATTCAATATTCTATTAGAAATTAGAATTTGTTTATGTACTTCTCTACAATATTCTACAGCTTTTCGTGTTTATACATTTTCCATCATAATATAATTATTTTTAGTTACTCCTTTGTGCCAAGTTACGTAGAACTATTCGAATTTCAAGAGCCAATTTTTTAAATTCTGACTGTGGATTCGAACATAAAAAATTTATGTTTTTTTATTAAAAAATTGTATATTTTAATAAAATATTTTAAGTCATAATAATTAATAATATATAAAAAGTATATAAAATACGATCAAACAAAAACTTATTTATCTCTCAAAGTGCAAACAATAAATATACAAATTGGAACATGGGGAGTAATATTCTATTTTATTGCATAAAATAAGAGAGTGCGGTCCGCGGTGAGGAAAATTTTACTGGTCCTACTTCGAAAGCTCATATATTTTAATCTACAAGAAATTTTAGGATGATTCAAAAACGAAAGTTGTAGCTCTTCGTCTCTAGTTTTCAGAAAGGTAAAGAAATCACAATTTGGACATCTCTAGTGAAAATTATGGCCAAAATACTAACGTCTGTCACTGCAATCAAAACCTGTGCGGTCACAGTCGTTTTTGCGAGGACCGCACTGGTTTTGTGCCGACCGCAATCGTTTTTGTGCGGTCCGCAGAGGTGTAAATCCGGAGGTGCCCTATAAATACGAGGTTTTGGGTTTTTATTTCATATTTTGACCTAGAGAGCTCGAATTTTGGCGATTTTTCGAAGGTTTTTCAAGAAATTCATCGGGGTAAGTGATTCTAACTCAGATTTGGCTAGAGTACATGAATACATCATTGAATTCATCATTTAATTCGTGATTTGGGATGTAATTTGGGAAGAAAACTTGTGAAATATTTCAAAAATATAAAATGATGATTTGAAGGATCAAATGGTATCGGAATTGGATAATTTTGGTATGGTTAGACTCGTGAGGGTATAAAGATTCTGAAAATGTAAATTTTACCTGATTCCGAGATATGGGCCCGAGGGGCATTTTGGTCATTTTACATAATTTCGCGTATTAGCTTAGAATTTAATTATAGAATCAGTTACTTGAAGTATAATTTACATTATGCAATTTAATTGAATAGATTTTGATCATTTGGAGTCGAATACTCGGGGCAAAGACGTGGTGTTGGGTTGATTTTGAGCCGGTTCGAGGTAAGTGGCTTGTCTAACCTTGTGTGGGGGACCTTCCTCTTAGGATTGGTATATTTGGTAATTGAAATGCCTTGTACGTAAGGTGCCGAGTGCGTACTTGTGCTGATTGTTGGAAATCCGATTTTCTTAAGTAATTACTAGTATGTTTCCTTTCCTGTTTCTATTTCTCGCACTATTAAGCATGTTGTTAGCTTAGGAAAGCATGTCTAAATGACTTAATTTGCTTTATTTGATTTAACCTGCCTTACTTGAATTCTGTGCAGCATGCTAGGCTAGAATCACTTGTTGCTTTAATATGAAATTTTGTCATTTTTGGATATCTTCCTGTTGTTGTTGTGTATTTATTTTGGGACTACGGATGTGGGATTCCGGTAGCGCCCCCTTGTCTGTTTACTTTGGGACTGCGGGTTAGATTCCCGGTAGATCTCCCTACACAGTTATATGGAACTACGGGAATACACCCAGTAAATTCCCCCAGTACTGGATATTTACATTTGGGACTACGAATCGGGATTCCGGTAGATCCCCTCGCATTATGAGTTGGACTACGGGACGGTATCCCAGGAAATCCATTGATATTTATATTTGGGACCACAGGACGGTATCCTAGAAGGCGCCCGGTTGTTATCTCTGTGTTGAGCTGTATTTCTTTTCGTAGCTTGTTTTGTCTTTGATCTAGTTGTTGTTGTTCTGTCAATTCTACATTATTTCTTACCGTTGCACTTATTTATACTGTTTTATTCCATATTGTTAACTCTCGTATTAATTTTTTTCCTCAGTAGGGCTCTGACCTTCCTCGTCACTACCCAATCGATGTTAGACTTGGTACTTACTGAGTACCGTTGTAGTGTACTCATGCCTTTTCTGCGCATGTTTTTCATGTGCAGATCCAAGTACCGTCGTTGATCAGACCTACTATCGTACTCCGAGGTACCGCGTTTGTAACTTAAGGATTTTCGGGTATTACATAGTAGTACTTAAGGATTTTCGGGTCTTACATAGTAGTACTTAAGGATTTTCGGGTCTTACATAGTAGTGTATGCCAAACGGCATATTTGTATACTGTTACTATTATATTTCTATTTTAAATCGTCTCCTTCCCCAAGTTTTAATTTTCTTCCACAAATTAGACTTACCTAATCATAGAAATTAATACCATCACAATTATGCAAATTCTTTATGTTGAATTTGATATCTGTGATTTTTTTTCTTTTGAGAATCCCAACTCATTTCGGGCATATTATTAACGAAAATGGGGCATATTATTGAATTTGCATCAGTAGGTGCCTGTTGCAAATTGATATCTGTATAGTATATCTTCAACATCGTCAGTCAAGTTTTAGCACTGATTAGATGGTGCAAGTCTGCAACAACATCAGGCACATTTTGGGCTATCAATTTACATAAGGCCCAATAGGTTTAGCACCGTTAAAGCAGCTACAAGTCTGCAATACGCAATTCATGTAAGGGCCCAAAATCTTAAAATATGAATTGGGTAGGGGCCGCGCGAACGCAGGCCCCCTCTGCCACAAATTATGACATAGGCTCGGCCACTTGGGCCGACCTTAGGCGGGCGCCCTTCCAAAGTGCAATGGAAGTCACCAACCTAGGCCATGGGCATTCATGACCACCCATTGACCCCGTCCAGGTAAGTATGTTTGACGTTGTTCCCTCATGTCATTTTATACCACTCCATCTCTTTGTCTCCCTTTACCTCAGCCGATGTGGGACTACACTAATACCTAAGTTTTCCATTTTTCTGCCCATGCTACAATTTTGTGCGTAGCTGAATAGAGATGCCCCATTTTCATTTTCACGAACCATAAGCGTTGTAAAAATAAAAAAAGCCAACTAACAAAGAACATCATATGCTTGAATCTACCTGTTTAACATGTCCCTAACATAAGATAATTTTTACAAATGTTGCATCAACGAGAGAAAAAGATCCCTGAAAAAGACCCAAAAGACCCCTAAAATTAGGGGTGTACAAACCGAACCGGAAAAATGCACCAAACCGAAAAGTCAAACCAAAACGATTAAAAACCCTGACTAGGTTTGGTTTGATTTGGTTTGGTATTGAATAAAAAAATACGAACCAAACCGACATATAAATATATAATTTTTATATATACTTTTAAGATTTTATATAGAATTTTCTTTAAAAAAAATATCTAGAAATATTTGGGATTACCATGCGGGATATAATATTTAATAGTATATGAAGTGCTCCATATTTATTAACCTTAAATAATGGTTGTATGATCATTTTCTCATCAAGTGTTATTGAAATGCGTCAATCTCTTTATTCTTCCATATTCATATCATATGTTAAGATCTACTAAATTGTTATATCTTTTTTGAATGTGAAGTGATAATTATTATTTAGTTATCATATTAATTTTTATGTTTAATTATTAAATTCGGTTAACCTTGAAAGCGTACATCAATGAAACATTATTGTCAGGCGACTATAAAAATAACTATTATGTGTTACTAAGAAAATTCTCTCATAAAAATATTTTAATAGATAATATGTTTGTTAATTTTTTATATTTTTACTAAACATATATTACTTATAAAAAACTTAACAAAGTAAGATTGAAATAATATTTAAGTAATAAAAAATTCGAAAAACCGGAAAATCCGACAAAACCAAACCAATCCAAATCGATATAGTTGGTTTGATTTGATTTTGATAAAAACCGAACCAACCCGGTCCATGTGCACCCCTACCTAAAAGAGACCCCTTGTGTATGAATTTTCTTACGGCTCTCTTAACTTTTTAATTTCATATCACTTGTCTCAACCAACATTTGAACTCTATTATCAACATTTAATACTCAAAATTTCATTTAAACATTTCAATATAACTTTTGGCATACCAATCACGCTTTATTAGGTAAACTTCATTATTTAGTGGCAGCAGTCAATAGACAATAGCTGGTGAGTAACAGTTACTTGGAAATTCTAGTAACCCACGGCAGAAGGTCAATATACCTGCCTTAAACGATTCGGCAATAAATAGAGCACCAGTATTTGGTCGAATAAAGGATTACAGTCCCCTTCTCAGAAATGGCAACTTCTTGAATAAGAGAATCAAACAAGGCTGTAAGTTTTGAGGAAATATTTTTGAGACACAAGTCATAACACATTGATCCAACAAGGGCATCTACAATAAGGTAACACAGATATACTTTAAGAAATCTGTCCAATTAATGGGTATTGTCTCTTAGGAAATCCAGTGCTTGAACAAGAAAGACTTTAAAATTCAATCCCCAAAGAAAGAATTCAGGCCTTTGTTTGGAAATCAATCACCAAATCAACTTGGTAAATCTCTTGAAACTAGTAATCTCTCCCACAATAATAGGCAATAGACAAATTTCCACCAATAGACCATCCCCAAAGATCTTTATACTGTCCCCTTTTGTGCAATGTTATCTCACCCTAATTGACCTCTGAAACAAAACTCAATGACATTAGGCTCAACAGAGATGAATGAGAACACCACATCTTTAGCTGACTTGGTTGATGGACAGCAAAAACCAACTGAAGACACAGATGACAAAAGTAAAACACCAAGACACTCGCGATGGACCAGACAAGAAACACTTGTTCTCATAGAAGGAAAGAAGATTGCAGAGGAAAGAACTCATAGGGGGCGTAAATCCAGTTCTGTGTTCGGTTCAGACAAGCCGGAACCCAAATGGAATTCGGTCTCCTCTTACTGCAGACAACATGGAGCAAACAGAGGACCTGTTCAATGCAGAAAACGATGGAGCAACATGATCAGTGACTTCAGGAAAATTAAAGCATGGGAGTCACAAACAAATGGAAGCAGCGAATCTTATTGGATTATGAGTAATGATCTAAGGCGAGAGAGAAAGCTACCAGGTTTTTTTGACAGAGAAGTCTATGATGTCTTGGATGGGAAGGAATTCACAGCAGAAGCATACCAACTAGCTCTGGTAACCATAACTACAGATGATAAAGTTGAGTATGGGATAGAAACAGCAGAAGAAGAGGAAGAGGAGGACGAGCAGGAGAACACAGAGGCTGAAGCAGTTTCTCATACAGATGGATATATCATGGCAGATGATGTTCTGTTTCCAGCCATGGAGGAAATTGGAAGCAACCCACTGAAGGAAGGGATTGCCAAACATAAGAAAGCTAAGTCCATTCCCTCTCCCACGCCTATATCAGGTAAATTAAAGTGTCCTTCAAAACTTGCTTTGCTCTCAAGCAGAACTTCAGCACACGAGTTAGTTAACTTTTTACATCAGAACTGATCTGAGATTGTTGGACACAACTTTCATGATGATAATTCCCCTGTTATTATATCATGGTTAGCACAATTTTTTCGTAATTTAGCACAATTCTGGATTTATAATGTTGGAGGAACTATTTTATTCTGTAGAACTATATTTATATCCTATTTATATTGTTGGAGGTACTAATTCTATCCTGGTGGCATAAATATTTTCTTGCAACTACAATCCATCAGAAAGTAAGCCCTTCACAAGCATACAACTCTATGAATTTCCTACCAAACAGAGCATTATCAAAATTAACACATTTAATATGAGATTTGGTTCATGCTACCACTGTCCATCCCATCTATAACCAATAATAACCAACAATTCAAAGCTTGAAGCAGCCTCGTCTTTCCTAGCACATACTTGTTATCACACAGACTTCTGTGCCAACTCTTTTTTCTTGCTTGGTTTGTGACAGACAAAGTACATTTTGCAATTTCACAAATATTCTGTTAAAATTTAACCATAACTCCAGTAAGCTAGACAGGATGAGTGGTACAAGTAAATGACCAGAAACTTAAATAAATAAATAAAAATAGATGGATCATTTTTCAGATGACTCTAATTTAATAGCACATTTCAAAGTGCCACCATTTAACTTAAGTTATCCATAACAACTTTAGTTAAATGCTATACCGTAAAGATTTTAACAGTAAAGTACATTCCTCTGTATTGCTCTCAGGTACAGCTGAAGGTGAACAGCCTGGATCAGATTTCTGGAAAAGCTCCATTTTTAAGGACGGAGTGAAGAGAAAAAGACAATCACCAGATGGTTGTATTGCTACTAGTCTGGGATATAAACTGCTGAAAACTTTGGAGCAAAACACCAACATGCTTCATGCACAACTTGATGCTCAAATCGACAACCATCAACTGGACAGGGAGCAGCAGAAGGAACACACTGATAGCTTAATTGCTGCTCTTAACAAGGTTGCTGATGCACTAGCAAGAGTTGCTGATAAGATGTGATGGACAAAGACAGCCTTTAAGATAATGACAATTTAATAGTAGGTTTTGATTATTTATAGATTATCAAGGTTCTTGACAGTGATTATGAAAGTATGGTTTCCGGTTACTTAGTGATCTTCAAAACTTATTGACAACCATAAGATCTCATTTACACCTGCCTTCGACTATGAATGACGGTCTCTTCTGTGATGAATTTAACCTAGCATCAATTGGACATAGGAAGGCAAACACTTAGCAAGATAACTGAGAATTTACAGGTTCAACCTCATCTCCAAAATGGATTACTTGATAGTAAATTCTACCCCCTCTTCTCCAATTTTTATGACATTATCTCCATCTTTAGCCTGAATGTTTAACACCATTCCACTAATAATATTATCTTACAGTTTACACGGCTTTAAGAAATCAAATTCATTTAACTGTTCAATTCTCAACTTTGATGTAATCTGTTATCTCTTGAACTAATTTTAAACTGTTATTTTATATTTTCTTTTACTGCCGCTAACTGTTCAAAATATTATCTTGATGTTTCCAATGCACATGGAATGAAATATAGAAGCTTAAAAAAAGGAAGGATAGGATTTCACAACAATCAAGCATTATTTGAGGAAAAAATGTAGCAGAGCTGCTGGCAGAGAACCACAAAAGTTAGAAACGAGAAGGAATGAATCAAAGCAACCAAATGATGACTAACATTTACATTTCATGATCTATTAATAATATCAACAAAAATTTTCCAAGTCAGAAGCAGAATTTTGATACATTATAAACTATTATACAAGTTAGAAAACGGAGGAGTGAGATAACACATTCATGATAAACACTCAACGAACTTCCTAATCTCTAACCAGCGGCAAAGAAACATGGCCAAACAAATGAGATCTCACTTGCCTTTCAATCCTAAGCAGGGACAGCCTCAATAAGCTTTGCAAAGTAAAATTGTGTGGCAATCAGGCCTCTCTTCCTTATCTTCCACCCAGCTTTTTGCAGTGCCCGCTCCACATCAGCCTCTGCATGTAGATATGCTCGTGTAGCCTTTGAAGGTCCAGGGAACAACTCTCCGATTCTTTTTAACAAATCATAATAGAATGTCTTTGGGGCGAAGCTCAGGATCAAACGATTCTCAGCCAATGACGCAAGATGAGCAATCATACCATCAGCCTTACTTTGTGGGTAATGTATCATAACATCTAAGCAGACCACAGTGTCATACTTCCCATCCAAACTCTCCAAGTCCTTCACTTCAAATTTTGGCATTACTGGTGCCGGGGACTGGTCATCCTTAGCCTTGAATAACTCCTCTTGCGCCTTCATTAAAGATTAAGAAGTATAACTCAGTTCTCAACTCCACAAAAGCCATAATCCTAGTACCAATTACACTTCTAAAACAAGTTTCTTTCTTAAAGATGAACCAAAGCTCGTCATATAATCTAAGATATACTCCAAAGTCCAAAGGATAATATAAAAGCTGCTGGTGAAAAGAAAAGGTACGAGCTAAGACATTGCATTTCCCACGCTGTAATTTAGTTTGTCCAAGCTAAGAGAAGAATACATAAAATTCTTCTTCCACAACTACAAAAAATGTGATGCAAAGCATAGGCAGATTCAACTCGTTGGACCTTCAACTTTAAACTATACTCCTTTGCTTCAATTTATGTATCTTACCTTCCTTTTTAGTTTGTTTCATAATGAATGTCACTTTCTATATTTAGTAACTCTTTAATTTCAACATCTCACATTGCATGCTTAAGACCACAAGATTCAAAGGGCATTTTGGTACATTTATATACATCTTTGGTTTAATCACAAGATTCAAAAGTTTCCCTAAACTTGGTGCCCAAACAATTCTCTTGTTAATCCAATTTCCCTGTCCAGACAAACTAAGACATAAAATGAACGGAGGATATATGTGAAACTATTGTTGGTAAAAACTAAAAAGTATTTTAAAAGGATCACCTGTTTTTGGGCTTCAGCGACCATGGAAGCTGAAATATCACTAGCTGATACAACAGCACCTTCTTTAGCTAGCGGAATGGATAAACAACCGGTCCCACAACCAGCGTCGCAGACAGTAACTCCCTGAAGAGACCCCTCTTCAGTCAACATTTTCATCACATTCTCAACAGTTTTAGAATGGCCCAGTCTTATGTCCAACTGCACTTTGTTCACATCATCCGTGTCGCCATATATCTTCTTCCACCTCTGAAACCCATTGTTGTTGAAATACTCTCTGACTACCTCCTTGTCACCGCCGCCGACCTCCTCCGCCTGCAGCTGCCGCCGGCGCTCGGGGTCGGCGAGCGAAAGGATAGCTGCAAGTGCTGCCACGGAACCACCACCGAGTACGGCGAGAGTCGTTCCGTCCAACGGACCGGTGACCGCCGAGATGTCGGTGGCAGTAGAGAGTGGCGGAATGGCGCAGACGGAGAAGTTCCGGCGGTTGGGTTTAGTGCTTTTAGGATGGATTTGAGAGTTAGGATTTAAGGCGAAGTTAACAGGAGAGAATAGTGGCGAAGAGAAAGCCATAATAAGTGGGAGTGAGCAAAATTTCCTCCTGCTGGGAAGGCAGAGGAAGCTGAGTCAAGAAGATGAAAGGCAGTTGACGATAGTGTGTAATCCGCGGGATAAGGATATCGTTCGTTGCCATTCCTTCGCGCTGGGTCCCACTGTCAGCATATTTAACTTCGAAAACTGAAGTAATTTATACTTACGCCTAAAGATTAATATAGTGAAAGTAGTAATAATAATTAGGGGTGTTCAAAAAAATCCGAAAAATCGAACTAAATCGAAAACTAAGCTAAATCGACCAAAAAAATTAATATTTTTTGGTTTGGTTTGGTTTTGGTTTTAAAATTTAAAAATCGATCAAATTTGGTTTGGTTTTAATAAAAAAAAAAAACCAAACCAAACCGAATATAGGAGTAGCTATTTTAAATTTAGAATTACACACATATATATGAACACTTTTATACAAAGTTTCAAACTTTTTATAGTAAATATTAATCGTTTGCACTTTTAGTGCAGTTCTTTACCTTTACATTCTAGTTTGATTGGTAGTTTCTTTTGTTAAGTGTAAGAATCTATTTCATGTTAAAAATAATATATTTTTAATTGAGTCCTTAAATTATTCATCACTATTTGATTCAATTATCATCAATATACCTTGGTAAATAATAGATTTCTCAAAGGGCAATTGATTTGATAATGTTACGTTAAAAATGTGGTCGCCGAAATATGTGTTTGATAGTGTATGTCTTATATTTAAAAAAAAAATCGACAAATAACCGAAAAAATCGAAAAACCGACATACATCAAATCGAGAAAAAACTGACTTAATTGGTTTGGTTTGGTTCTAATATTTGAAAAACCGACTTATTTAAGTTAGTTTCTTTTTAGGGAAAAATCGATTCAAACCGAATCATGAACACTAATAATAATAATAATAATAATAATAATAATAATAATAATAATAATAATAATAATAATAATAATAATAATACGTAGGAGTAATAAATTAGGATAAAAAGATAAATAAAACTAATAGAATTAAATTATTTTTAAATAATATTTTGTTAAATATATGTACAAAATCAAGCATGATAAACATGTATGTTGTTGTTGTTATATGATGAACAAAAAATATAAGAAGGGGTACACAATTTAATTAGTAGGATCAGCTAAGTTGGAGTAAATATATAGAAGAAATAGCTAAGAGAAGTGGAGGAGTTAACTTTAGAGGAGAAACTCCAACATCTCTCTGGACTTCCTAAAATCACTAAATTGCCATAACCTCTTTCTTATACACCTCTACCTAATATGGGCGTGGATACAGAGACATTGATTCCACCAAAACCACCAGACATTCTGAACGATTGCACTACCCAAATACCTATAATCTTCAAACCACATTTAAAGATAAATTAATTAGGGGAGGTAATGTGAACACCTAATTTTTGTCCTACATGAAAATAACTATTAGAAATGGACCAAAAATAATTTTAATTAATTTTTAGGAATTTTTCTTTATTCAGTTGCATTTCATGCATTTTAAATATTTGAAAATTATAGAAAAAATTATAAAATTGTCACATTTTTATTTTTATGCCATCCTAGTTTCAACTTACATTTAGGAATTAATTACATTGAGTTAATTGTATTATTAAGAAAAAAATTTACAAAAATAATCATTTTTACATATTTAGCTTATAGTCTTTAGAAATTAGTGTTTTACTTAGTTTTAAGTTAATTAGTTATTTTAATAAATAAAGAATTTTATTTTCTACAAAAAAAATAGCTTTATTTAGGTTTTTAATTAATTAAGGAAAAGAAAAAGGGAAAAATAAATAGAAGAAAATAGGAAAAAATGTTTGGTCTTGTTTATTCAAAATTGGGCCAATCCTTAAATTGACCCCAATTAATTAACCCGAGTCCAATCCTTTAGCCCAAGCCTATTACTCTAACCTACCCATACCCCTTACCCTTTAATAAAATCTAGATATAGAAAGAAGACAACATCAGATAATTAAAGACCTCACCCTGAAGAAGCTAAAAAAAAGGCGCAACCTCCCCCCATTCTCGATTCCCTTTCTTCTTCCTTGGCCTCTCACTCAGCCCCCATGGAACGAAAAACTCACACACCTACATTGATTCCTCTTACTCATACACGCTCCTCCCTCTCTCACACGCTTAGGCCTCTAGTAAGAGCGTGAAACTATAGAGATCAGATCTTAAATTCAAGGTTACAAAGTTCGTTTTTTTTTTTTTACATTTTTGGGGGAATTTCAGAGTTTAGTGCAGCTGTTGAGTTTGTTTCGAATCCGGAAGAAGAAAAATACACGGATTCCTGCATATTTGAATATAAAAATTCCCATACAAAAAATCAAGAGCAAAATTGTTTGAAGTTGCTATTGCCTCGTCTTCTCATTTTTCTGGGATTCTGAAGTTTGTGCCGGATAAATGCTGTTGCATCTGCTGTATCTATTTTGCCGAGCTCTTCTGACTGATTTGCTGCCCTTATTTGGCTCATATTAACATCTTCCTTGCTCAAATAGGTCATTCTGAACTCCTCTGTATTTATGGTTTCAGTGGATAATCAAAATTTATGGTTTATTTTGCAGTTCATTTTATATTCTCTAATCAACCTTTTTAATTTGTTGCATTGTGGACTGTGATATCATTGGCTTCCTTATTTTACCTCGTGGGGAAGGACATGACACGTCAAAATCTTGCGAATATACTTTGTTCATCTCACGTGTGTTCTTTTCTTGAACTAATAAATCCAAGTTTGCTAATGTGGATTGTGCTTCTAATGCTTTCCCTTCGGCTTAGTTTCTTCTTCTGCCCTCTTCCTTTTCCTCCTGTAGAGATATTCTTTAACAATGAAATAAAACATTTTGTCTTCATTCATATTGCTGGCTTTTGCATAATATCGTGGAGAGTTATTTCATTGTTGTATGTAAGGATGGGAAGTTTTCTTGCATTTAATAAATTGGATTCAAGTTGTAGGCCACTAGTAGCTGGACTTTCCTTTGATTACATTGCATATGCCAGTAATTGACGTATATTTGATATACTCGATTTGTGGGTTTTTATGGGTGCACACAAGTTCAATGGTGTAGCATAGATTACTATGTTAGGACCTTTATGCCCTCTTCTGAAAGTGTAACTTCAATTCTCTCTTATTTATCTTTTTGCAACATTTATTACATTTATGAAAATGTTTATCTCCAGTAAAACATTACAAATAATGCTGGAGCTTTGTCCACAAAAGAATTTCACTCACCTTTGGACTTTACAAACCATTTCAAATCGGTACGAAATAAACAAACTTATGAATGTCATAGTTGCTTTAGGCGCGACTAATAATAAATTATCGTGACTATGATAAGATTCCCGTGGCATAGTCACGATACCTAATTCCCAAATTCGGGGGTGTATTTTATGTGACCCGATCATAACAACTTCGAATAATAATAAAATAAACATATCGTGATTCGCAGGCGCATTTCATGTAGCGTAATTTGCGGTGTGTTCCAAAACGGCAAGTGTACGACAATCATAACTTGTTCAAAAAATAATTCTGTAAATCCTAGAAAGCAGTTTAATGAATAAAAGCGGTTATAAAGTTAAAAATGCACAATAGGTTTAAAACATGTAATTAATCAGATAACTAGGCCAATATTAATAGTTTAAGCGATCGTGCTAGAACCACGGAACCCGGGAATGCCTAATACCTTCTCCCGGATTAGCAGAATTCCTTATCTAGAATTTCTGGTTCACAGACTTTTAAAAATATAGTCAAAATTTCCTCGATTTGAGATTTTAAAATGAACCGGTAACTTGGGACACCATAAATATTTCAAGTGACGACTCTGAAATAAATAGAATAATCACATTTCGATTGTCACTTAAATTGGAAAAAACTCCCTTATACCCCCTTGCGGGGGTAGGAAAAATGAGGTGTGACAGTTGTGGCGATTCTGCTGGGGATCAAAACCCAGAACTTTGGTTCAGGGTTCAAGAATTCGAGCTTAGAATAACTGTTATAGTTGACTTGTTTTTATCTGACTTTTACATGTTGAGACTAATGTGCTAATTTTCGCTTTTTACCGCTTTGATATTATTTGAACTGTATATAAACTGTTACGAAACCCTTCTTTTCTCATCTTCGGGGATGTGCACGCTGGCGTGACTCCTTTTTTGTTAGTGTCATACCTTGAATTAGAAAGAGGCTCGGACAAGTTACAAAGCCGGATGGCCTTTTGGTTCTCGGTACGTAGCCCCCTCTCGGTTCGATTTGTCCGCTCTGGTAAACCAAGTCTAGAACAATACACCCAGGTTTTAAACCTAGAATAACATAGCCTCATGTCGGATCCCTAGTATGTACGCTTGTCTGCATCACGTGCATCTGACTTTGGGGACTCAACATAGGGGTTGGGTCCGTCTAGGACAGGTGTACCCAATTTAAAAGACCATCTTAATGCATCTTACTTGCTACTTGCACATCTGTTTGTTTTGGCTTGCATGTTGACCGGCTTCTAGAATAGGAAAAGAAAATCGGAAAAAATAAAAAGAGAAAAAAAAAAGTGAGGTAGGTATTTGGAAAATCTGGAAACTCTGCCGAAATTCTGGAAAAAAAAAGTCATTCCAAAATGAGCTAAAATTTTCAAGCCATGTTTCCCTTGTTCCGTCAAAACTGACCGAACTACGCGGGTCTGATTCTCACCGGATGTACGATACGTAGGCAGACCTCATCGGTTTCGGCCCTAACTTTTTTTTTAAAAAAAATCCAAAATCAATTCCCTTCAATTCCATCCTTAGAAGCATTTTCTTATAAAATTCAAAAAAAAAATTAAACTCAAAAAAAAAATAGTTTCCTTCTTTCTGAAGTCTTTCATACGGAAAAAGAAATAGAAAGAAAAATCAAAATGAATAAAAATCCAAAACAGGGTTTCCTTTATGTTGAAGTATTTTTCCAAAAATTAAAAAAAAACAAAGAATCCAAAAGAAAGGGAAATATTCCTTTCCTTCTTTAAAAGTATTTATTTCATAAATGTCAACAAAAAAATTGAAAAATTAAAGTCCAAAAATATTTTGCTTTTCTTTA